ATCACCACCAAGATGTCCATACTTTTCAACAGGACAACGCACGGGCACACACAACAAGACTTTCCATGCAGTATCTGGCCCAGCAACACATCCAGGTTATTTATTGGCCAGCACAGTCGCCAGATGTATCCCCCATGGAGCACTTGTGGGACGAAATTGGTCAAAGTCTTTCGCGGCGACAACAGATGCATACATCCGGGAACTTGAGGCTGCACTACTGCAGAAGTGGAATGCCATCCTCAAGAACTCTGTTCGGACGCTTATTGACTCAATGAGGAGATGTTGAACTGCATGTGTCAATGCAAATGTCGGTCACACGCGATATTGACTTTTCGATTTGACCCCACGTGTGTTTGATCCTTTCTGACCGTTGAACATTTCAATGAATGAGCGTCTTTTCCGTGCTGTTGTTTTTGTCAGTCGTCCATCTGTTAATATCCACTCAAAATTATCCTTACACGTGCATTTAATAATCTGAACTTTTATAAGTGGTGCGTTTTCATAATGTTCAGTATATAAAGGTTACAAATATTCTCGGGTTGGATCCCGTTACTACCTGTATCAAACAATACTTGTATATGTTTGTAAACAAGGCTCTTGCAAACTTGACGACAGGCGCTACCCGTCAGTCTGATATTCAGTAGGTCCAGGTCATAAAACCATTGCACACTTAGCATACCCTGATCGCCAAACGCAGTTCTCGATTTGTTATCCTGAGAAATAAAACTATTCTCTGTTCAATGACTTATGGGCGAGATATGTGTACTTGACAGTTGGCCATGGGTCAGTCTTCTTTGATCCTACAATACGGAGGTGTGGAGGGACGTCATCATTGTTCAGCTAGTCGAGACACGTGTAGGTGTTTCCCATGGCCCCGAAGTTCAAATATAACGTGAGTGAGTGAGGTGGCTTATACGCCACTTTCAGCAATATTCCAGCAATACCACGATTGGGACACAAGGAATCGGCTTCACAAATTGTACCAATGTGGGAATCGAACCCGGGCCTTCACGTGACGAGTGACCGCTTTAACCACTGTGCCAACCCACCTCAAATATAAACCTTTATTGGAATGATTGTACATATAAAACTGAGTAACACGTGTGGCACAATGGACAGTGAATGAACTGTTTGTTGCATTTACCCATTGGTTACAATGCAAAGTGAATAGCGAGAACCAGACACCATTCATTTCTGTCACATAAAATGTTGCTGATAGCAACTTTCCCCATTCTTCGAGACTTGCACATGCCTCCAACTGTAGAGAATTAATCATGTGTGAAATGAATATTGAATTATGTTCTGTATAAACTTTCATGTGCACTCATAACTGCTACACCATACTGAAATCTTTGAACAAGAGTGTTTGTTGTGATTTCTTGTCAGTGTATTCTCAACATACCTACTACATACATTAATGACACGACATAAACAGGTACACAGAATGCTATGTCTATACAAGAGTTCTTTTAATTTGTTGTAACACCCTGGCGAAATAAAGTTAATCTTTAATCCTAAATCTTTATAGAAACCATTTAAATACAGAGGACAAGAAAAGAATGAACGTTCCCGAATATTTCAACACTGTGTCGTCATCAACATTGAAAGACTGTGGTGAAAGATATTATCACAAAGTTTATGATTAAAGGACAGACTGGTTCGTAAACGAATAATAAATCGTCATTAAATTTCCTGTCGACAATGTCATGCATGCAGATTTCCCCGAGAGAGTATTTTGTATTAGTCATGCCTGTCAAGGTGGGGCCGGTAGCTACATATAAACATGCACAGCGCAGTACAGTACTACCAAGCGCAATGTAACCTGACGAGCGAAACTGCATTATGTTAAATGCTTTAAAATGTCAGACCACATAAGGAAGAATGTCCACATGACACGATGACTGACTAATAATATATGATATATCTGTGTACAAAGTTCGCACCATGTCGTGAATAGGGTCAAATTTCATGAACAAAGTTCAACATACTGATACAATACACACGTCCCTGTCGTGACATTTGAACCCACTTCAGATAATTCAGTGGAAATTTAAAGCAATACTATGAGAGATGAAACTGGTTTTAGTTTCAACTTTGTTAATTTATAATTCTGGAGTCTCTATTCAGGAAAATGAAAATGAACCCGAAATGCTTTGTAACCGAATACATGTTATGGTTGGTTTTTTGTTTAACGCCGCACTCAGCAATATCCCAGCTATATGCCTGGACCAGACAATCCACTGATCAACAGCATGAGTATCTATACAATTAGGATACGATGACATGTGTCAACAAGTGTTTTCAAATGGGTTTCGATTAATAATGATAATAATAATTCATTTATACAGCGCCTAGTATCCATCTGACTAGTTGCTCACTGGACACTGTAATCAGAATCTGATTATTATTGCCCCGGATAACCCAAGCAGCATGTGAGACGCTATAAGGTTAATAGTCGCATGACTTATCTCACCGGGTACCCATTTTCTGCTGGGTGAACAGATGCAATTTTGAACAAACTCACTTGCCTAAGGTGAGACTACATGTATCACATGTGCTTCGTGTTGGGCAGGACTGAAGATCTAGAAACTCTCAGGAGCCAAGCTGCCAAACACGGTCACCCATCTAATGACTCCGCGCTCGACGTTGCTCCAGTTCAACTGATTTGTGACCTGAGCTCTACTCAAAGAACCACACACGACCAAATCTCTACCAAACAGGGCCCCGTTCCTCAAAGCGATCGTAGCGCTACGACAGTCTTAAGTCTATGTTAAAGTATGGGAGTTACGATCAACTTAGCGCTACGACAGTCCTAAGTCTATGTTAAAGTATGGAAGTTACGATCAACTTAGTGCTTCGATCACTTTGGGGAATCTCAAGGATGATACATGACGGTTTATGCACTGGGGATGGGGATGAACTGACTGCGCGATTTAAAAGTAAAATAGTGTCGACACAGGTTAAAAAAGAGCAATTCAAATTGCCTTAAATCGTGGTGCAAACAATTTCTACAATACTTGTAAATTATTCATATACGGAAATAAATGTAAATACGAAAATACTAATCTTGATAGAATGACCCACACACGTCTTTCCAGCAAATGAATCTTTCGAGCATAGGTGAACAGAAAATGTATCAATGCTGAGGGACATTGATATTCTATATATTAGATTTGAGTGAGTGAGTGAATTTAATTTTACGCCGCACTCATGAAACATGTATATTACAACAGAACATTGGTAATGTCTGAACAGCGCAACTCTTGTTACATTTGACGGTTGAGGTCAGTAGATGGTTGTAATCAGCATACATTTAAAACTGTATTTTAAATATGTGCACCCTGCCTATAACAATAGAAGACACAAAACCCTGTCCACATCCATGAGGAATCTCTGCTAATAGGGGTCTCTATTGTACAATTGTGACTATATCATGGGTATATATTTGTATATGTTTGTTTCAACAACTCCATGTTCGAGTAATACGTGGATATATTTTGTGCGAATATCACTGGTAGACAAATTATACCGTACAGAGAAATGGAGGGACACTATTACACACCACAGCATCGAGTCAGATGCTTCTGATACCCTGGCAGTGTCAGGTATATCACCTTAAGTTTGGCGTGCGCCTGCATGTGCGTTATAGATGAATACGATCCACGCACATGGGATATTTGAATTCATACTATCACTGCCAACGGTGAAAAGAAACAACTCTGCATTGAAAGTTTCAAAAAGGGAGAGCAGAGGTCAGTTCAATTATTACAAATAGTCAAAACAGTTGCAAAAGGGAGAATGTATTACAGTTGAGCCAAATCTAGCCCCACACGGTTAACAACTAGCATAATACCTTGACTGATACAGGCTTTTCCTGCTACCGATATAATATGATTTTAAATTAATGGTGACGGGAAATGTGACTGTAACGAAGCATGTGTGCAGATAGCAGTTTGCAATAGTCATTTATGTCCTTGTGTGACGCATACAATTTCCCCCATGTAAAGGCAGTTAAACTGATAACAGCCATAGAAGGAAATGCACTTTGTTCAATCGGCGACATGGATAGACATCTGCACATTGCACCATGCCATTACATTGATGATAACTGGTTTCAACTGCCAGCCAACTATATGACTAAAGTCAATGGGGTATACACACTATTCTGCAAATTAATGAATTGTAACAGATATCACTTCGCTGCCATGAAATTATACTTGGCCCCCAAGAAGATTAATGAATAAAATCTAGTTCAAGAAGTTCACCGTTACTTGGCATTTTATCCTGAATATAGAGGCTTTCAAAACAAACGTACTTTCAAATGTCAAAAGTGTGTCCTTGTTTCGTGGAAATGAAAATGAATTTACAATCACCATCCAAGTAACATATATGGTAAATTCACACAGAAAAGTTTGAAAGATGTGTAATGTGGCATGTCGTCCTAAAACTCTAATGAAGGGAAAGCATAAGCTAACAACGCATAACCCATGGCTATGAACTAATAATGAACATAATAATAACTTATCAAGGCCACTTATTGGCACGGTAACATGTCTGGTGCGCCATGTACCACGTTTCAGTAGAACGAGATTCTTTCGGGTGTATTATATTGTAGTTCACCGCTACTTGACATTTGTTCCTGAAATAGAAGCTTAAATTTCAAAACACACATTAATGAATTGTTATGGACATTACGTCGCTGCCATGAAATTACACTTGGCCACGGATATTAATGAATACTTGTTCATGTAGTTCACTGTTACTTGAGATTCGATCCCGAAATAAAAAATTAAATTTCGAAACAAATGTAAATGTACTTTCAAATGATGAATAGAAAATGACAGTTCTACGCCAGTTTGACCTCATTATCGATGGAGCCGAGCTAATTATAGAAACACAACATTACAAGGTGTGGTGCAATACACCAGGCTGTTGTTAGACATGAAGTTCCCCAAGTCTTGAGATAGCGAGAAAGGCGCCAGCTATGAATGGGACGTGATTCTAATTGTTTCATCCTGTCAGAGAGGTTAGACATAGATATCAGCCTCTAGACAGTGTAATTCAACAAGTAAAAAAATCTGTAGTTCACTTAGCGAGATAGTGGAGGATAGCGAGATCGAGGCGTCGTGTCAACTAGGTCACGCACAGCTCGGGACAGACGGCTGTGTAAATAAACCCTACTGAATGGTTCATAGCCTTACACTTATGCTTATAAAGCCAGGTGGTTGTTGTTAGAAATGTAAAACCTAGCCTAAAGATAGTGAGAATGGTTATATATTGAGATCATGTGTAGGAAGGAAAAGAGTGGCTCGTGTCAATGGCTTTCTCCAAGGTTTATACATGTACAACCGCTCAACTACTGCGGGTGAAAAGGGGACACTGTTTGAAATACTCGTTAGGTCTCATGCTGGCTTACAGATCGACCGGTTTACACATAGCGTTGACTGGGTAAGAATGTTTAAATCAGAGCAATTATATATACTATTCTGTAACGGTATGCGCGATCCAATTCTGTATGTATTGGATTCTATCTTTAGCAGACTGCGTTGAAACATGAGTAGACATGAGTGAAGAGTGATGTTGTCAACTCAGCAGTTATCTCCCTTTCCTATTTCGTTTCAATGCAATAACTAATGTTCACTTATTCTAGCTGCATGTTTTTTCTATATAAACCACTCAACAGCGTTGGCGGGTTATTCAAACTGCTGTCAGCACGGTGTAAGAATCGCAAGGGACCTCTCTCTACACATACTGCAGTGAGAAAGAAACAGTTTGAAAGGTAAGTGAGCAGTACCACTGCCTAACCAACACATTTTCAGAATAATATCAATAAAGTTTATGTGAATGGAGGTTATTTAAAATATAATACGTTTGCACTGGCCCCATATTGTAGGCTACAATACGTTATTGTATAAGTTACACTATAAAATACGCCTTCGTGTATATAGAGTCGACAGTATTTAACACACTACCTCTTGTATTACAGAATGTCAGAAAAACAAAAGTTTCTGGACAGTGTGGATTATTTGTCTGATTTAGAGAAATGGGCTGCAGAGAATGGAATGATAAGTGATGCTGATGTGAACTTAAAACGTATTGAACTGCTTGCAAATAACATTAGCCATAGGGAAAATGTGACACCCTCTCAAGCACAGCACACTTGTCATACATGCACGAAGACATTCACGCAGAAGAGAAATCTTCTCCGCCATGTTAGGACAGTGCGCAGCAATGAGAGATATTGCTGTGAGCAATGTGGAAAATGTTATTCCCGCCTGGATGCACTTGAAACTCACAAATGTGAAACTACTCTGAAGAGGTAGGGAAGTGAAACAGCTGCAGAAACCTTGGCGAATCGTCCCTGTCTGCAGCCTAAGAATGACAGCAACATTCCAGCCGGATATGCTATCTGTAATTGGTGTGGCCATTATAAATGCTTACTCCCAAACAAGCTATTCTGCATGAGTTGTTCGCGCTCAGGTCGCGAGTGCATGAGTTGTCACCATCCTCTCCCTGAGCGCTTCTACAGTGAGCGTGTGGACCACTGTGACGGCTGTGTGAGACGTCGTCAACGTTATGAAGCAGGGCAGGGCAACCAGACTGGTGGAGGTCAAAGGTCAGCACTAGAAAGCTCACTGATGACAACAATCACCCCCTAGGGAAGCTAATAATGTGGATATTCTACAATTTCTAGCGGATGAAGAGACAAATATTGTTGATATCTTTCATGATTTTACGTCAGAAAAGAAAGGTATGAAGTGGTTTCTCACTCTAAAGTTGAAATATATCAGTATGACGAAAATATCCAACGTCATTTAGCTGAACCTGTTCTGAGAAGTACCAAATTTAGGTGAGTAACCTATCAGAAATTAATGAGAAGTCAGCTGAAGCCTTCCAAAAACTGTACACATCTTCTCAAGAGTTTCAAGCCAAGGGCAGTAGGTGGATCTTAGACCACATCATTCATCTTGAAGTGAATACAGCTGAATATGTCCCTTTGTCAGCATCCAGTTACATTCCTTTACCAAAATACTTGAAGGATATAAAAAAGCTATTTTGAATATCCAAAACAATGATCATAAATGTTTTGTCTGGTCGATTCTTGCGGCTTTGCCATTGAATGAGCATGCCATAAGAGTGTCAAAATATGCAGGATAAGAATCAGAATTGAGTATGTGTGGGATTGATATGCTTCTCCCTCTTTCTCAAATTTCCAAATTTGAAAACCAAAATTATATTTCTGTCAATGTTTATGGCTATGGTGGGAAAGATGGAGTATTTCCACTTCATGTCAGTAAGCACAGGCGTTATAAGACAGTAGATTTATTACTACTGAGACAGGAAGAAAAAGGCATTTCTCTTTGATTCAAAACTTTAGCAGACTGGTGGGAGAACGAACAAATCATGATGGAGCTGCTTTCTATTGCAAACACTGTCTTCATGGATTCACCCAAAGGGATCTGTTAGAGAGTCATGCCCCCTATTGCTATGATCATAACATACAGAAAATAAAAATGCCTGGGGGTGAAAAAGCATGGGTAACTTTCAAAAACATTCAGAATCAGCTCCGAGTGCCTTTTGTCATTTATGCTGATTTTGAATCTATGACCAAACAAGTGACTCGGTCTATCAAAAACATGAACCCTCTGGCTTCTGTTACAAAGTAGTTTCTACTAATCCAGACTATCATCAACCTGCAGTGGTGTATAGGGGTCCTAATGTCATAGCTCATTTCATTGATTGTTTGTTGAATGAGGAAAAAGCAATTCAAGAAAAGTTGAAAGAAACCTTTCCCATCGATATGACAGAGGCTGATGAGGTAGCATTTCAGGAACCTGTCACATGTCATATCTGTCAGCAAGCATTGGATGTAAAGTCGATAAAAGTCGGGGATCATGACCATTTGAAGAAAGTCAATAATTTTCGGGCTGCTGCTCATCAAAACTGCAATCTTCAGTTGAAGTTCAAAAAAAGTATAAGACGTCAAGAGAAAAAGAATAAAGGAAAGAAAGGGAGTGAAGACGAGCCATTCTTCATGCCTATAATCTTCAATAACTTGAAGAATTTTGATAGTCATATCTTGTTAAAACATTTAGACAAAAGCTACAGAGGAAGACTGGAGTGCATTGCGCAAAATTTGAAGAAATATATTTCTTTCTCACTGGGTAGATTAAGATTTATTGTCTCACTCTCTAAATTCTTCAGATATCCCTGGACACGTTGGTTAGCAATATGGTAAAAGACTGTTCTAATGAGATTAAAAATAGGAAGGTTATAAACTTGGATAAATGTGCCACTAAATTCAAACATGTATTCTGGGAATATGGCCATGATGAACAAAGGAAATTAATCTTGCGAAAGGGGGGTTTATCCATATGACTACATGAATGATGAATCCAAATTTAGACTGAATCATCTCCCAAAACAGGAGGACTTTTACAATAGGTTGACCGAGAGTTCTATTTCTGATGAGGATTATGCTCTTGCCCAACAAGTTTGGTCAACTTTTCAAATACAAAACTTGGGGGAGTACCATGATTTTTGTTCTACTTTTGGCCGACGTATTTGATGACTTTAGAGACATGTGCCTTGAAAACTATGATCTAGACAGTGCTCCCTACTATGCTATTCCTGGGTTTGGATGGTATGCCATGTTGAAAATGGGTCAAGTGGAGCTTGAACTCTTGACAGATATCGAAAAACATATCACGCTGGAAAGAGGATTGAGGGGTGGCATATCTTGTATATCAACAAAACATGTATCCATTAATATCCCTCTTATGAAAACCAGAACGTTTAATCCCGATGACCCCATAAACTATCTCATGTACTGGGATGCTAACACCCTGTATGGGTGGGCCATGTCTCAAGCCCTATCTGAACGAGAGTTTCAGTGGAGAACGTAGACCAAATTGGTGTTATGAATATGCGCCCTGATACTGATATCGGCTATATCCTTGAGGTAGATTTAGAATACCCCTGTCACTTGCATGATCTCCCTTAGCCCCAGAACCCATGGTAGTCACACATGACATGCTTTCTGAACACTCTCAGAAACTGAAAAGAGAAACTAAAACTGAAGGGTAAACCCGTGAAGAAACTGGACCCCAATTTGTTCAACAAACAAAACTATGTATTGCACTACAGGAATTTACAATTCTATTTGAATCATGGCATGGCTCTATCCAAAATCCACAGAGCTATTCAATCTCCCTGGCTCAAACCGTTCATTGGCTTCAATACAGAGAAGAGAAAACAAGCTGAAACAGAAAAAGACTTTTTAAACTGTTAAATAATTCTTGTGTTGGTCGTTCCATGGTGAATGTAAGAAAGCATGTGAATATGGAGGTGGTGAATTCTGCCAAAAAAAGCTTTTTGCCAAGCCCACTTTTGATGCTTTTAAAATATTTAACCCAGACTTGGCAGCAGTTCACTTGAAAAGAGTCACCCTGTACCCTAAACCAACCTGAATATTCAGACTTTTCTATCTTGGACCTCTCAAAGCTAGTGATGTATGACTTTCACTACAATTTTATCAAGCCTAAATATGGGAAGAAATCATTGCTATACTTCACAGACACTGACTCCTTATGTTACAAAATTGAAATCCCTGATATGTATGCTGACATGGGAGAACATATGCATCTGTTTGATTCCAGCAATTATAAGCCACTGCGCCCTCTCTATTCCAAAAGCAATGCCAAAGTCTTGGCCAAGTTCAAGGACGCGATAGGAGGTTGTATCGTGGAAAAGGTCATTGGGCTCCGGCTAAAACTGTATTTATTCTCTTTTGAACAAGAAGTTAAAAAGGATAAAAATGAAAGAGAACATGAGAATGATACAAATTAATTTTGTTATTGCAGAAGAGCAGAAAGCAAAAAGGGCTTCCAAAACTGTCACAAAAAGACAGCTGAGGCATGAACTTTACAAGCAGTGTCTCTGTGGTAAAACACAATTTCGACATGTCATGAATCAGATCAGGAGCTATGAACATCAACTGTATACAACCTCCATCAATAAAATAAGTCTCTCCCCTTTTTGATGACAAGCGTTATGTTTTAAAGGATGGGATCCATACACTAGCCATGGGCACGATAGAATCCATTCAGTGACTGAGTAAAGCACTTTTCTTTTCTGACAAAATATCATGAAGGGTATCTGTGTTGCTAACCTATATAACATTTAGGCCATACAACAACTATGTTGTTTGCCTAGAACTGGAGTATGTAAATATGGGAGGCAAGTTTGCTTTGATAAACAAGTGTAGGATTGTCATATTTGCTCATGTATAGTTTGATTTTGTAGAATACATTTTGTATTTTAAAAATGCTGGCATAATGACTGTGTAAAGCCAAACAAGCCTCTGTATCTGTTTTCATGTTAATAAATACTTGCATGGGCATAAATAGATTGCATATGAAGGCTGGCTTTGAACATCTGATGATTCTCATGTTGTGTTATTCATGAAATAAAAGGTGTTGACTTAACTCTGCAAGTTTGTTTTATCCTTTGAGAAACAAAGTTTCTCTGTATCAAGTGAAGCTCATTGGTGACAGAACATATAAATCAACCATATACTGTTATTTACATCCTTTATTACATATGTACATGAGTATACATGGTGTACAATTATATATATTCACATAAATACAGTGTGCATACAAGTACTACAATACTACATATTTATATAATACATAGATGCAAATTTGTGTAGAAGAGTTCACAGTTCATCATTATCTGTATCATCATGCTCAGACATGTCAACAAGTACTAAATCTTCAGCCCTGGCTCAAGTCCTCATGAGAAAGAATATCATTCACGACAGGTTTCATCCACTGAGCGATTTTAGCATCCATTTCTTTAGGGGTACATGTTTGGATCCAGGGCTGTGATTTTCTTCAATATAGGCTTGAAGATGGGTCCATATCCGAAATAGCTGGCATAACGAACGGCAATCGCTAGTTTGTTAAGAAAGGTAGTTTGCCAGCATTTCTTCAAAAAAAATTCAGCCATCTTTCACTCTTTCCTTTATCCTCAAAGTCCTCCTTTTTTTCCAGATGTCCTCCTTACAGGCTTTCAAAGTTTGTTCACCCATGTATTCAAGGCCTTTTACTTCTCTCTCTCGCTATCAACTTTAGTACCTGTCTCTACTGGAGGCAGGATATCATTCTTAGTATCATCAGCTGCACCCACCTTAGTTCGTTCTGCATAGGCTCCCCACAATTTTCCTGGCACCAGGTCCTCACATGACGTTGAAAGTCATGGTTGTTCCAAATACAATACTACACTCGTCACAGAAGGGCATTATTTCGTCTTCTGAGACCACAGTATCCTCAACCAGCTTGGAGATGTTATCTCTGTCAGTGTCTGGAGTCAAATGATTAGGTGGTTCAGGTTGCTCCCCTGTTATAAATGTGCTCACTGCCTCAATGTGTTTTGATTCTGGTGGGGGACTTGCTATGTCTTTTATTATCCCTGAGGCCGAGGCTTGTAATCTCTCTAATTCGAGAGTGGCAGGTCGTCGATCAACAGTCAGAATGCCATAGAGCTTTTGCATATCTGTCTCATAGACTGACATAAACCTATCTACATTATTGGGGTAGATATGTCTGGCAAACAATTGGACCTGTAGTCTATCCACAGGTGAATTGAAAAGAGTCACATAGTGAGAATTCAGAGCTATGTCATGTGACTCTTTTTCCTCGTGGAAACAGATTTTGTAACAGTAGGAAGATAATGACATCCTTGTGATGAGAGGTTCGAGTAAATAGCTGAGAAAATGCGTTTGTCATCCTTAGCTTCAAACATCATGTCATCCAACACAATCATGTTGTTATTTCTGGCATCAAAGAAGGTATCGTCAAGTACATTTTAAGGAATTCCTTTCACAAACTTCACATGGTGTAACTGTTCACTGATCACCTGGTACAGGGGCTGCCATTGGGTATAGCACCAGATAAAATGATTAGGTGCTGGCTGTATACATCCCTTCATGAGAAGGTTGCATATAAACATAGACTTACCCTGCCAGTAGGGCCCACAACAACTGCATTGGAGGAGATGGTAAACTTGATATGTTCTTTATCAGTAACTTGGTTGTGGTTTTGCTGTTGGTTATACATTGAGTTATGCAGCGGCGGTGGATTCATAATCATTAATGTGCTTATGTCTCCTGTGTCTCAGCATAACATCTTTCCTTGAAAACCGTCTCTCACAATCTGGTCATGTTGCTTCCATGGTGGTTCTGTATCCAATGAGAAGTGGATGACATCTATCCTTATTTATATACCCTGGAGGTACTGCTCTGGGATCCAGCTGTTGAATTTCTTAGGATAACCCATCCATTTAACATACACCTCTTATCTACCAGCTCTCTTTCTCTTCTTCAAGACGTTCCACATGGTGTCTGCAGACTTATAGACTTTCTGAAGTTCATTCGCATAAAAAGTACCTGTGATTGGATCCTCGGCCATGGCCTTGACTTTATAGACTGGTATTCCATCCCTCTAGTATCGTAGTATAGTAACAATAAAGATTTCCTCCGTCAATTTCTCCTGATAGTCACGTTGAAAGACATGTGTCAAATGTGACAGTAGCACCTGATCCCCTACTTTGAATTTAAAGGCTTTCCTTCTGGTTTCATTCATCTTCTCTGCTTGGGGCTTGCCTTGTTTGATCAGTGGCTTAATGTACTGTTCTTTCCAAACAACAGATTCATTGTTTGCGTTAATATCAATGGGTGAACGTTGATTCAGCGATCTGTGAGGTCTCTGGTTATAATCTTTCACCAAGTCTTGCAAAACATCAATATAATGGTACGATTGTTGGTAAGTAAAGTACCTGTACATACTCGCCTTAAGGGTTCGAATTACTCTCTCGGTATAAGAGAGTGACATTGTAGGTAATACCCTTGTTTGCTAAATATGATCTCACTTTCTTGTTATCAAATCCACGGCCTTTGTTAGATCGTATGAGCTGTGGAAGAGTAGCACGAGAAAATATGTTCTTCATAGCCTTAATGATGGTGCCTGGTGTTTTATTTTTATGGGGTTCCGCCCACAGAAATCATGTGAATACATTGATAGTTATCAATGAGTATTTCACACTGTCATTGTCAGAAGCTATATTAGATACATCGGCCAAGTCAATATCCCACCGATTGTTCAAACAAGTTGAGATCAATTTGTTCCGCTTGAACTTGTATCTAAAAGGTCAATGAAGCGAATAGGCATCTTGAGAAGCGAGCCACTTCCTGATGTGATGTAAGCTGATATCAAATTTTCCTTCCTTTTCCACCATGTGACATAGCTTAGTTGAACCGAGAAGGAGGCTGCGTGTTTGGGATTAAAGTAAATGCTGGACAAATACTCTTTCCATCCTTCAGCGGGCATGGTGAGAATACAAATGACATAAAAATAAACTGCATATGTTTTAATAAGAAACCATGTCTCATTCAGAAGCGATCAGTTTACACAGGCTATGACTGGCCGACTGCATCACCTGGTGTCGATCTCACTGTACGAGCAGTACTGTTGTGTAA